ATAAGCACTCGAATGATACATTTCTCGTATCAATTGTTATGAGCAATCAATACCATACTCTCGGCAAATGATTCGTTGAAAGTTGCTGGCTGTCAATTCGTAAACCGAACTTGACAAAATGCGATGTTTAGAATTTTGCTAATGCCCTTTTTGGCCCGAAGGGTATGCAAGGCATCAATTCGAATACACCGAATCACACTTTCCAATTTTATGCGACGTCGTGTCGGACATTTTGCCTAGTTACATTCCCACACGCTTCTTACTCACAAAATACTCTATGATGCATCATCGCACCACACCACTTCACACCCTGCTCTACTCCACATTCTATGCGGATTTGACACTTCCTCCTTCCTTATTAGCATATTATTCCGATTGGAAATATTATACCAATCAAACGTGCGGAAAATTCGGCGTAAGGTTGAAGATTTCCCAGTGAAGTTACATTGCCAACTTTCACACACAGTGTTCTAGCCTTTCGTTCCGATTCGAGCCCGAGTCTATTTACCGTGTGTTTTGCTGCTCCATTCGTTTGCTGGCCCGATATCGTCTTTGATAACCGTCTCGAAAGTTCCTCCCAGTATTACCTTCTACTTTGTGTTTTGTTCTCCTTCACACTGCTTAGTTTGCACAGTCTCCCACATATCATCTTCAACTGCAGCCATGCATGTATGTGTTGATACATCCAGGGACCTTATACTTCATCAATTCATTCGACTCTTTTTGTGCTACTATCTTGTTTCCCATGGCTACCTTACACGATCACTTACGCTGACTTCTTTCTTTGCAAGTTGTCTTCGATCAATCATTTCTTGGAAACCTTGAATACCCACCCTTTGTTCTCTTCCATCAAATTCCAATACATTTTGAAAACTCAGCAACCATCATCCGGACCGTGAACAAAGTTTCTCGGATCTACAAATTACCTGAAGCTGGTAAAGGTTACTGTTCTTCTTTGGGACGTCACAAAACATGCCAAGGCTGCTCCAATCGCCTAGGCTCTCTCACACCACCCTACACGAACGATGCTTCCGACGAACATCCGCGAAGCTAGCTTCTGCTTCTACGATCTCTTTCAGGGGGCATTCTCTCTTACCATCAATCTCGGATTGGTCAATACATCATGGCTCTTCTTCTCGGACGTGAAAATGCTGCTGTGCCAGCACCCATAATATTTCGATTACTGCACATCTACTCCTCAATCTCGTAGCCCAATCCTCCCTCCCTCGCACATCTGTATATTTCCTATCAGATGTATCTTGGCATTTCAGCCTTCGCGTCACATTTTCTCGTACCTCTCTGGTTATCAGATTCGCCGTGCAGACTGTCGTGTCTTCCTCACCCCTTCACAAGCTAACTGATTTTTACCTTCTCAAGAAGTAGTCTACTATACCGGTTCTTATGATCCATCTATTTCAGTGTCACAAGTCCCTGCCATCTCGTATTCCGGATGATACCCGGATCAATATTCTGTGGTGCCAATATACATTACAACTCGGACAACACAGACACTATTGTAATCCTGGTATCTAGTCCGGCTCGCCGTCAAAAATGTGTTTATACGGGTTTGGACTTTACTTTGGGTTACTGATTCCCAGGGCCGAGGCTAGTTGATACTACAGGATTCGCTTATGGTAGTGCGTCGTGACATCTTGATTGAAAATGTTATTTTATCTTCGACATCTAATCTTTACCATGGTTCAAGTCATCCAAGCGGCTCACTGCTGAAGTGAGACAGTGGAAGATGCATACATCATCCATTATCTCGTATACTTCCGTGTTCAACTTCGCCTTCTGTCATCATGGATCTGTCATAAGTCTATAGCGAGTACACAGAATAGTCATATTGTCTCGTGCATACAAATAAAATAATCCATTCATCAAGATGCAAAACGTTGATGGAGTAAAAGTTTCTGTATTTCATCTCTTTCTCCTCATCATCTATCTATCGCATACGCATTTCTAGATATAAGCAATTATTCCACGTCACCTCCATTTCCTTTTTGAGTGCCCTTAGACTATTCTGATAGCTTTCAGTGAACTTTAAAGAGTTCATGCCTCAAGAATTGCCAGCCTCGTAATATTCGTAATCTCAAAAATGTACATCCTAACCCAACTCCTAAGTGGCATCCTTGAGCGCATGCTAATATCTTCCTTCTTCACCTCGGTTCGTTGACCTGAGTCGACGACTAGAGCACCATTGACGTACTAGAAACTAGTCACGACATCAGGAATGTATCCCGTGCTTGATGTTGTCGAATCAAAAGGATCGGCATTTATCTACCACCCTTCATAGCCTGCTTCCTCTTAACTTTATCTTGAGCCCGCAATAAAGCTGTTTTGATTTCTCCTTTTCCGAATGTTTCAAGATCGTAGTAGGTTGGCGCAATGTCCTGGTATAAATTAGCTTATGTTCGATTCACATGACGATTCGAATTGCGGTCGAGGTAGTAAGCGAATGAGGAAATCAAGGGATAATCATACCAATAACCACTCCGGTCTAACAGCCGTGACACTTCTCACATAGTTCTTTGTCGTGAGCACAAATTCATTGTACAACACCCACTCAGCATCCTGTTTCAACACGGTACTAGGATGCAATAAAACACTTTGGTCATCCTTGACCGTCTTGTAGGTCTTACCCGTCGCTTCCTTCTTTGCAACTTGCATGAAGAACCCTGCTACGAGTGCACGACGAATATTAGTGTAGTAGGATTTGTCGTTGAAATCTGTAGATACTAGCTCGAGCTCTGATTTCTCCATGATGCGCTTAAGTTGTTGACGGACGTTATCAGCTGACTGCAGAGCTCGGAGAGAGAGGAAATGTTGGTGACACCAGCCTTTAGGATCGGATTGTGCGGCTTCTCCCTTGAAAGCGTGGTAAACGTTGAGCATGGTCAAGTGATCTCCGTCGGGGTGGGCGAAAAGATCTTTCATTTCATCGGCACGCTTTCTAGCCGAAGCAGGACGAACAAATATTTGAGGAACAGAAAGGAGGGCGGTCAGAGATAAGATTTCATTTGAGCAATAAAACTCTGGGGACGAGATAAGCATCACTGCGAGAGCAGGATCGAGAGGGAATTCTGAGGCGAGTTTTCCTAACTGTGTAAGGTTTCCATCATCGTCAAGACAGGCAAGGTAGTTGAGTTCCTCAAGAGCTCTCATGAGGGTTTCTGGAGCTGGAGGATCCATAAGATCAAAATGTACCAAATCGTCAATACCAAGCTTCTTCAATTCTAAAACAGTGTTGGCCAAATTCGATCGAAGAATTTCAGGGTAAGTTTGTTCGATAAGTTCCTTTTTGAATGCTGCTTCTGTATATAATCTGAAGCATTTACCGGGTCTAGTACGACCAGCACGACCTGCTCGTTGTTGTGCAGATGCTTTCGAAATAGGCGACACAAGAAGAGATTCGACTCTGATTCTAGGATTGTAGACCTTCTGTTTACTGAAACCGGGATCAACCACATACACGATACCATCAATGGTCAAAGAGGTTTCCGCAATGTTTGTTCCCACAATGACTTTTCGTCCTGGACGTCCACCGGGTCTTAATGGCCGTGGTGCTGGCTCGAAAATTCTTTGTTGTTGTGCCGGGGGCAATGTACCGTACAGTGGATACACCTTTAATGGACCAGCATCTGCTTCTCTAATCATCTCATCTGCCTCTAAAGATATCTTTCGGCACGCATCTTCAATTTCCTCTTCACCAGTCAAGAACAACAGAATATCTCCCTCGGCTTCGGTGGCGTGAATCTGCAAAACTGTTCGAAGTGCTGCCTCGACATAATCTCTCTCTGGCTCTGGGGTGTAAAAGATCTCGACTGGATGTGTTCTTCCAGGTACTGCCAAAAGTGGAGCATCATTGAAGTATTTCTGGAACTTTTGCGCATCAAGTGTAGCAGACATAATAACGATCTTGAGGTCTGGTCGTCTGAGCGCCACTTCCTTTAACAAACCCATCAAAATATCCGTGGCCAAAGTACGTTCGTGAGCTTCATCAAGAATGATGCAGCTATACCTCGTCAAATTATGATCATGCATGGCTTCTCTGAGAAGCATACCATCTGTCATATATTTAAGTATGGTTTTCGAACTCGTCACGTCCTCGAAACGAATGCTGTATCCGACTTCGTCTCCTAGTTTGACGTCCATTTCGTTTGCCACACGCTGCGCCACCGACATAGCTGCTACTCGACGAGGTTGTGTACATGCGACAAGCTTGCCAGTCAGGTGAGGAAGATCATCGTAGAGAACGAATTGAGGAATTTGTGTTGTTTTACCAGAACCAGTCTCTCCGACGAAGACCAAAATTTGGGTCTTTTGGAACATATCAAGAAACTCTTGTCTGTTAAAATAGTTAGAAGCTGGTAGACAATTTGCCTGGAGAAAAGTAAAATCTCACCTTTGCTTGTGAACAGGCAAATCCCTTCTGGTCTTTAAGATATTGAAATACTGTTTCGAAAGAGGCTTTTCATTGAAAGGATTCGCAGGTCCATCTTCAGCTTCATGTGCCTGTGCAGCGGTTGTATGATGGCGTTTGAAGTTCGAAAGTCCAGATCCAGCACCATTTGAACCATTGCCCCAGCCATTACTTTCCTCCTCATACATATGCGCCAAATACGGATTCGTCTTGGGATCCATATCGTCGGTTCTCGCACGCTTTGCTCGAGACATTTCTACTTCTTCTGGACGACGGTCAGCCATTGTTGAACGCCAATCAAGGATTGTTTGTTGTTATATTTACTTCTCCAAGATTTGTTCACAAGGCTGATTAAAATTCACGCAAAAATATTGCAGATAGAAAAAGTTATCGATATGCTGTAGGGACATTGATTACGCTAGACTGATTCAAGTCACCGCCTTGACTACAGTGAGTATTATGTAAGCGAAATCGACCATGAATGCACAGGACAGGGTACTTAAGATATCGCGAATCTGAAGGTGTCGCAACTTCGTAGCTATTACAAAATAGTCAATTTCTATCCAGAATTATAATCATGGCTGCACCATCTCCAGATCCCGCTATGGACCTCGTTCCTATCAAGCAAGAAGAAGAAACTGCTGAAAATGATGCTCCAGCGCAAGAACCCAAGCTTCCAACCAAAAAAGATATCTCACTCAAAGAGTTTCTTGGGAAGATGGATGATTACGCTCCAATCGTAAGATTTACTTGTTTCGCATTGTTTTATGATTTTGTTATCTAATCCTTGTCCGTAGATTCCTGATGCTGTGACAAACTATTACCTCACAAAAGCTGGTCTTCCACCCCCACCACAAACAGATGCGCGTTTGGCCCGTCTGCTTGCGCTTGCAACTCAAAAGTTCATCGCTGATATTGCGGCCGATGCTTATCAATATTCCCGCATTAGGTCTTCCAATTCTTCAAGTGCCAATAATCCCATGGGAAACTTGGGCGCTGCCGCTGGTTTCCCAATTCCAGGTCAGCAACCAGCTGGTGCAACAGGAGGAAAGGACCAGCAGGGACGTGGAGGACCTCTTGGTATCCAAAGACCTGGATTTGGTGGTGGTGGACAGGGAGGTAGTCAAAACCGAACGATTCTAACCATGGAAGACTTGGGTATGGCCGTCGGAGAATATGGCGTGAATGTAAAACGCGGGGAGTTCTATCGTTAAAATCGCAATATCATAAGGCATAATTTGGGAAGGTTTGGGGGATTCAACGGCGTTACAATTTACACGGAGTTTTGAAGAGGCTTAAGGGCATACAGAGAACGACCCATCACGAAATTGTATAACGATTCTATATTTCAGGTACAGAAATCAAACAGATATTTATTCTCATTCGACCTATGTTTAACTCATTGTATATGGGTATTTGAGAGCTGGGCGCACGTCTTCTAGATACTGCCTTTTCGGTCGACCTTCTGATAATATCAAAAGCCATGCTGCCAATGTCAGAGAATGTTCAATCCGTCTCTCAGCTGTGAAGCTACAACGATTCACACTCAGTAATGATTTTGTGATCTTCGACAAGGGCTTCTGGAAGTGAAGGCACCCTTAGTTCTTCCAATGTATCCACTCTTCACCAGTTCATATAATACACCTGATGTGCAACACAATGCACATACGCCAAAGCCCAAAGACTCTTTTCCAACCCAGAACGCCATACCATGCCATACGGTGCTAAACACCCCGCATTTACTTGTTCTTACTCTGCTTATATGTAAATCGTTTTCTTGTTCTGTCCGCAAAATTAGCCCTTCATTTCCCTCATCCAATTCCCTAGAACCTACGCCGAGAATTCCCCCAACTTATGTCCCACCATATCTTCAGTAATGGTCACCTCATTGTAAACCTTCCCATTGTGAATCTCAAAGGTTAAACCAACGAAATTAGGTAGAATAGTCGCAGATCTTGCTTGCGTTCTAATTGGCAATGTTCGAACACCCGGTACTGGTTTGACAATGGGGAGACTGGTGAGGAGGGGTGATTAGAGAAGTTATAGAATCTGCAAGGAATGTCTTACGGAACGATATTGGGGCCTAAATTATGTGTTAGAATTGCATGATTAAGTTTGAAGGCGTGAGTTAAAACATACCTTTCCAGACCGACCGTGAAAGAAGAACTCTACTGGGAAACATTGTGTCGTTGAATTGATATCAAATTGTCTCGTCGCCAATTACGGCAAATCTTTCACGCACTGAACGGAAAAAGCCGCACCCTCAATACAATTTATAGATTGTAACACCTGCTGTATCTCAGTGCTATAAAACAATCAAAATGATAGTTTGAGGTCTATAAATCGATTTTCTAAAGAATTAAAAGACCCTAATCGGGTTTATGAGAGTTTCAATTGAAAATAATGATTGGCTGATTTTGAATTGATTATTGAAAAGAGTAAATGTCTTTAGTGGGCGATTTATTACTTCGTCCCTTCGTTGTCGTTTGATAAAATTTCCAAGTGCTCGCATTCTGCAGGGGCAACAAAACACGCTAATCCAGATCGCGTCTCCCAGATACTGCAGGCAACCAAAAACTTTAGATTCTGATAGCAACCGTAAATTTGTACGGAATACTACATAAACTGTTAATATTTTCGTGTCTTTGATATTGATGATCCCTATTTAAGTGATTCTATCTTCTGCGATAAGTCGGAACAATCACAACCTTTCTGGAGAGCTTCCTTTGGAAGAAAACCGAGTGGCCAAAATGCCAACTTTCACAGGTAAGTTCTAATGTCTAAATAGGAAACAGTCAATTGACTTCTTTACAGCGGCAGATACGATTCGAATACTCATTGCCACAGATAGCCATGTGGGATACGCAGAGAATGATGCTGTGCGCAAGGACGACAGCTGGAGAAGCTTCGACGAAGTTATGCGTCTAGCAAAGGATCGAGATGTAGATATGGTCTTACTCGCAGGCGATCTCTTTCACTATAGTCAACCTTCCCGAAAAGCCATGTACCAAGTTATGCGATCACTACGAATGAATTGTCTAGGAGAGAAACCCTGTGAATTGGAATTACTCAGCGACGCAAACGATATCTTTGATGGTTCATTCAATCATGTCAATTATGAGGATCCAGATATTAATGTTGCTATACCAGTGTTTTCTATTCATGGCAATCATGATGATCCGGCTGGAGATGGAAATTACTGTGCTTTGGATTTACTACAAGCTTCCGGGTTGGTCAATTACTTTGGTCGAACCCCCGAAGCTGATCGCATTCAAATCAAACCAGTACTTTTGCAAAAAGGTCAAACGAAGCTGGCTTTGTATGGTATGAGTAACGTAAGAGACGAGCGTCTTTATCGTACATTCAGAGATGGTCATGTCAAATGGTTCAAACCAGGAGTACAACAAAAGGATTGGTTTAATCTCATGGCAGTTCATCAAAATCACCACGCTCACACAGAAACCTCTTATTTACCCGAAAACTTTCTTCCTGACTTCCTAGACTTAGTGGTCTGGGGTCACGAACATGAATGTCTTATTGATCCAACTTACAATCCCGAAAAGTCATTTCATGTCATGCAACCTGGATCATCAGTAGCTACATCCTTAGTTCCTGGTGAAGCTGTCCCAAAACATGTTGCTATCGCCAGCATCACAGGTCGTGAATTCAAGATCGAGAAGATTCGTCTCAAGTCTGTACGACCATTCATTACAAAAGAAGTTGTCCTCGCTACAGACAAGCGAACTAAACATCTCGCAAAAGTAAAGGATAACCGCACAAAACTCACCAAAGAACTTATGACCATTGTGGATGAGCTCATAGATCAAGCACGCGCTGAATGGATTTCCCTTCAAGATGAACCAGAAGAAGAACTCGACGATATTCCCCTCCCTCTCGTTCGTCTCAAGGTTGAATTCACTCCGCCAGAAGGCGGTAAATTCGACTGCGAAAATCCTCAACGTTTCTCCAGTCGTTTCATCAACCGCGTCGCAAACATTAAAGACGTAATTCAATACCATCGCAAAAAAGCCGGCGCAAGCCGTAAATCCGCCACCGAAATCGATCTCCCAGAAGAAGGAACTCTCGCTCAAGTTGCCGGTTTTGACGACGTAAAAGTCGAACTCCTTGTAAAAGAATTTCTCGAAAAACAATCCCTTCAAGTCCTCCCCACAACCCCCTTTGGCGACGCTGTAGGTCAATTCGTTGATAAGGATGATCGTCACGCCATGGAAATCTTTGTGCAAAAGTCCCTCAAAGCTCAAGTCGAAGAACTCATCAAGCAAGCCAATGGCGCAGATAACGAAGTCGGAGATGAAGATGAATATCTCAATGCGGCCATGGAAAAGTTTCGCGCTCAACAAGAAGCACTTGCCGCCCGCTCAGGAACCAAGTCCAAAAAACCTGCCAAGAAACTCAAACCTAAACCCAGACCCGCAGATTTCGACTCGGACCTCGATGGAGAATGGGGTGAAAAAGTCGAGCATTGCGAAACGGACAACGGAGAAAATAATGATGATGATAGTGACAATGCACCACCTGCTCCCCCGCCCAAACGCGGAAACGGCAATGGTAACGGAAAGAACACAAGCGGATTCATCATCAGCGACGATGACTCCGATGATCCTTTCGCTGAAGTCGTAGAAGAAGAACCTAAACCCACTACCACCACCAGAAAAACACCCGCCAAACGAGCCCCAGCCAAGAAAACCGCAGCACCCAAAAAAACACCCGCCAAACCAACCACCACAGCAAGAGGTAGAAAAAAGATCCCCGAGCCCGAACCAAGCGATGACGAAGACGAAGACGTAGAAATGGAAGAAGCGTCTGCGCCTACGCCAGCAGCCAAACCAAAGAGTCAACCTAAGAGAGCAGCTGCGGCGCGCGGAAGACAAACTCAAACACAGTTGACTTTTTCGCAGCCGAGTCAGGCGACGGGAAGAGGAGGAGGAGGAGGGGGGAGAAAAAAACAGGTGGTTGAGTTGAGTGATGATGAGATTAGTGAGGATGATGAGGATGATGCGTTTCAGCCTATGAGTGCGGTTAGTTCGGGGAGGGCGAGACGGAGATAGTTGGATAGTTGGATGGATGGGGTTGTGCGTGGTTGTGAATTTCCGTGACTGGAAGACGGAAAAATGATGAATGAAAGGAAATGAATGGAAAATGTTTCATGGGGTATTTACGGATCTGTTGGTATTTCTTCGAGAGAAAGAAAATGTGGGAAGAGATCGCTAGAATGAGAAGTAAGTGTACGTGCATATTACGAAGTTACGAGATAATGATATCAATTGCTTTGGATCTGGGTAATATTGCAACCAATTCAATAGCTCCTATGGATAGATGGCTTGTATGAATGGATGGGTTGCAGTATACACCTATTTTGCAATATTGCAATGTAGCAATGTGCTCAAATATGGGATGGAATTGTTAATTGCAAATATCGTGAGAATTTAGCATTGCAAATAAATAAAGAAGTAAATAAGTAAATAAATAGCAAGGACAATAACAATACCTTTCTATGCTATCCATAACTCGCACTTCCTCCTCGTTGCATTCTCCATATCGTGAGATGATGATGTACTATTTATGTATTGGCTCTTCTGCTGTCTCTAATGTTAGCTCTAGAGTCTAATAAGCAGTTTTTCATGAAGATTTAGATTTAGACTCATATGCAGATGTAGGTATAGACTACAATAAAGATAAAACTGCACATATGAACATAAACATAAATATAAATACAACCCATACTATCCATACCTCCAACAATATTCATCATTAAGAGTACCACCCACCTCCCTCCCTACCAAAATCTTACACGAAACCCAATCACTCCAAACTCCCCTCCCCTCCCCTCTACTCCCCTCTACTCCCCAAATAAACAAACAAACAAACAAATCTCTAGCTAGTAGATCGATCGATCGATCACGGGCTGGGCCTTCTTCGCTAAAGAGATGAGGTCGCGGGTCAAGGGGAAAGCGGTCACGCAATGAATGTCATAATGTAATGTGGGGGGAGAGTACACCCATGAGAGAGACGATGCGTGGGTTTCACTTTCCTCCATCAGATCGGAAAGAATCGAAGAATTTGAACTGGCTGTATGTGCTGATCAGATACAGAAATTGAGAGCTCCAAGTTGTCACACAGCAGTCGAGCATATCGGAGATCATTGGCCTCGAGACTTATAAATGTGTTCAATTGTAGTCTGTTATATGGGCGTATGTAAACATAATTCGCGATCATCTCAATTCAAAGTTTGGGGCCTCTTTTTTCTGAACCTGGTGGTAGTAAGTTTTTATACAAATCGTCGTGATCCTAGTATTATATTCCCCCAAAAAGGAACCCATATAGAATATCAAATTCTCAGAAATATTCAGACCCTTCAAACCTCCTAAAACAAAACCTACAAGAAATAAACATCCTCAACATCAACCCACAGATTAATCTTCCACCTCTTCAACTCTGCTCCGCATCATAGTAACTTCCACTTCCTCCACACCCGTCACAGCCTGCCTCGCCCTATACTCCCGCAAAAGCGCAGCCACCTCTTCATGACCTTCCATATCCGCAGCTTCAATAGCAGAGGGATAGAATCTTCCCTCAATCTCCTTTTCACAAGCCAGCATTGAATGAAAGATGATTGCGGTCCCCCGCTCAACATCAGCCCCAGATTTAAGTGGTAATTCCACGATTTCAATGTTTCCCAGAGCAGCAGCAATAACCACCGGTGATGAATGCTCTCTTCCTTCAAGTTCAGATGGCACTACTTGGGCACCGTTGTTAATCAATAATTGGACAATCGCGACCGTAGAAATCGCAGCAGCGACAAATAAAGGTGACCCCAGCTCTGTGCTTATGTTGGTATCGGCTCCGTCCCTAATCAAGCGTTCGACAACTCTCTCGCTTCCATAAATCACCCCTGCAACCAAAGCAGTAACTTCAACGCTTTCTTTTGTCCAACAGTCCCCATTCTCACATGTCTGAAGCCCATCTGGAGTATAAACTTGACACCGCAAAATAGTTGCTAAGCACTTGTTTACATCATGAGGTTCGCCCAACAAGAATTCCATGGGATCTGGGTGTGCATTTAATGCTGCAAATGCTATTGGTGACCGGTTCCCATCAAGTATCAGCCCAGGGTGGCGTGGGTGATTCAAAAAAACTTCGCACCATGCTAGATTCATCACACTTATCTTGATTCACACACCTGACTAGCTGACTTTTCACAAACTCACAAGATAGGGCATTCGCTTTCGATAAAAGTAATTCCAGAACTCCATATTGACAGGCCTACTTGCCTGATTTTGGATCCTCTGAGTAGTCAATAGGGAGGTCAAAAGATAATTCTAAGCAGCTTTTGCACGAGTTAGGCATGCCTTTGGGAATAGAGTAGGTGGGATCAGCTCCGGAGAATAGTAGTAATTCTGTAAGTCTTCTACTCCCGGTGCATAGGGCCCATGACAATGCCGTTTCAAGATATCCTTCTAACATTGGGCGCACCAATGAATCGAGAAATATTGGGACAAATTCATCCCTTCTACTATTTATGACCGCCATATCTAGCACAGTCAACGGTTTACTTCTTCCATCCCATGCGACTTCCGCAACAGATTGGAAAATAACGAGATTACCAAGGTTCAGAGCATTTTCAAGGGGCCTGTGTATCCCCGTGTCATAATTCGCATCAGCACCACTCTTGATAAGTAGCTGCACCTATATCAAATTTCAGCTTTGAAAGAAATGCGAATAGTATCCAACTCGAACATACCATATCAATACTGGTATTCGAGATAGCCTGCAGTAGTGGGGTACAGCCGTCTTTGCATGCATCTAGCTCTTGATTGTCGAAATCAGGATCATGGATCACATGCTTACCAACTTCGTAAAGATTGAAATACGAGATGATCATGAGGGCTGTTGTGTCAATGTGTCCGCAATGTATCATTTGTGGGTTCCCGCGATAAACACGTCGTCCCCAGTTTGTACGCCGATTGGAATATGAACACAAGCTGGCAATGTCGGCGGGGTCGAAAAAAGATATCGTGCACTTATAGTGTACAGTCCAAAACTCTGCACAATAATCTAAGAAACAAGCGAATGTTTCTTAGAGATTTGAGCGACCATTGTCATCAACCAAACAAGAGTCAAAGTTATCAAGGAATAGATAGGAAATACATGCTTCAGCTAGAATTCTTTGAGATATATCCGGCTGGATACAGTGCTTCCAGGAACCATGCTCTCTTTCGTTTTGCTTGTTCTCGATAAGAAATTCTTTCGCTGTCTGATGTATGAGGTACACTTTCGAATTCACAATCTGTATGAAGAGCCCACAGAGATTACGAATCATGCCTGGGTAACGCTTACTATCTTCCAAACAAATATCCTCGAAAGTTTGAGACCCATTGTAACATACTTTGATGTTCATGGCAACGTTAATTTCATCCGTACTTAGCGGGCGTTCAGCCCCGACGATAATGTGAAGTAATTTCTCGGTATCTGATCTGCGTGGGCTTTTATTCAGAATGGCTTCGTATCTGAAATGATTGTATTAGCATGTTGGCAACGTTCACAGACACCACGAAAGCCCCAAAAGAGATGCTGAGACGAATCAGAAACTCACACTTGCTCCACGGTGATTGGTAGTGTTCTCAGGCTTTCTTCTATTCTCTCGGCGCCCCCGCTAGTGGTTACCCTCTCGCAAACAACGTCCATAATCAAGTATAACCAAAGATAAGTCCTATGGCTCATTCCATGTAAACAAGTTATGATACGGGTTTTAACTCTTTCGCATAAGTCCAGTTGCGCAATTTTGTGATTGATGACGAGGTTTATTTCCTGTGAGATCATCTCAGATTCCATCTCCCCAGCTATACGAATGATATGGAAATTTTGATTCATGCCCGAGAATATTCTCTCAATCTGAGAATAAGGGCGACTGGTGACCACGAATTTCATGTGGCATGGCTGACTCTCGTACACAAGCCTATGCATTCTCCGAATAAATTGCTCTCGTATATCGTAGCCTGAATCACACTCGTCCAAAGCGTCAATGACGCAGACAATATCACCAGCAGCGGGATCACCTGCTATCGATTCCAAAACGTCCCACATGCGATCATGCAAGTTACAAAGCTCTATGCCGTTGAGCTTCCAACTATCTATCACGTGTGCCCAAAGATGGCGATTTTTCGAAAGTATCTGGTGGATCAATGCTGCAACTGCCTTTTTTGGATTACGCTGTTCTGGAGAAATATCCTTGAAAAAGAAGTGACATACGATAGTTGCAGGAGATATGCTCACCAGTCTTTCGTCTCCGAACGCTTTAGAAAGAACTGACTTTCCACACCCTGGATCTGCTGAAATCCAAAGAAGACCTGAGCTTTCACCGTCCCTCCAGTCGCGGAAGCTCTCTGATTCAAGTAACCACTTGCAAGTACCCTCAACACGATCAGGATTTCGATCCTTTTGTTCTTCATAAAGATTAGCCGAACGAAAAGCTTGCAGACAATCCATTTCCTCCTTGGATCTTTCGCGTTGCTTAGATTCTATTCCAATATCAATAACGGCCTGATATGTCTGACTTGATGCTTGAAAGAGCTGCGATCTGAATTAAAATCAGCCCATCATCTTTTTGGATGTGAATCTGAGGACTTGCCCAATGATATGAAGCTCTGCCAGTTTGCTATTGTATTCCTTCGATAACCTACTACAACGATCGCTATCAGTCGCCTGGGCTATACCCCAACATCGCCCTTCTATGCGTAAGACATCGTGATGCATGGCTTCCCACTTATCGGTCTGGAAAACTTTCCGCAAATAGCCTTTGATCGTGGATCGGTTTAATTGACATACAACCTCGGCCTGAAAACTAAGTATCTTGGTATATAAGTCGATGATCCCACTGGACAACATATTAGCCGTGGTGGCAATTGTTGAATCCGACCTTTTAGTTGCACAAATGCTCTCCACTAGACTGTACTTTTGGATAAGGAAGGGTAGTTCCTCAAGACCTTTGCGACAAGCTTCATCTTGTTGAGAGGGATTGAGGAGAAGCTGACCCTCTGTTAGCAAACCATAAGCATCGGAAGTCATGAAAGAAAAGTAAGAAAAGGTAGAGACTAAGCTCTGAGTAGGCAAAAACATACCGGAAGGAAAAGACAGACACCTGCCCAAGCTACTGCTCCATGAGGTTCGGCACTTACAACAGACCCCACGAAATCTTTAGCCAGGCCTACAATCTCAATCGTCTTCTCAAAAACTTTATTGGCTCTGCCACTTGGTGAATTCATGGTTTCGAGGCTATTTTGGCACACTTTGAGAAGCATCGCTGGATTCGCTAAGGATTGTGTGGACTCGTTGGAATAGTGTTCGTTATTCTTGTCTGCTTCGCGACATATAATGAGTGAGTATTGTTCATACTACATTTAGCAAAGTTAGCTGGTCAGAAATGTTTTTCGAAATGAAGTAATGAAGTTACATACCAGTTCCGGATCATCAGCCTTGAGCTTCTCCGAAGCTTGGAACCAAAGATCATTCTCATTTGAGAGCTGCAAATCATTCGTGGTAGTCGCTAATGACCCTGTCATCAAGCAAGCTGAATCATCGTGTATAGGCTCCTGTATTTGCTCGCCAGCTGCTTTTTTGCCATTCTGAATTACAGATTCGCCACTCTTCCTAACAGACACTGCTCCAAAACCCGTTATATCAACACTCGACTCGGACTGAACAGGCTCTTGCAGAAGATCAGAGCGATTCTTAAGATTTGCTTTGATCGAGCGAAAGCCTCGTTTGAATCTCTTGCCGATAGGCATACCTGGTGATTTAATGATCAATAAAAAAATCAGCAAACACTACGATCCATCTCAAAAACGTAGTTTCAAACCGAAAGGACAAAAACAAAAAGATAAAGACGAACTCGACAAGGCTCTCCCGTACCACCCACCACAGCACAGCCCTCACCGGCTCCCCGCATCCCCATCTTCCACTACATACACACAATTCAATCACACTACATACCATCTTCGCCCCATTCTGTCCTAATTCTCTCACCGACCCCAGGTCTCCTCGAATAACTTGATTTCGAAGCGACTGTCGCATCTCAAATGTGCATCTCGTGGGTCATGTGCAACGAAATATTTCGCACTACCATCATTGCACTCAAAGGCGAAGATTGTCTCGTCAACGAAGAAAGGCGAAAGACACATCATTCATTTGAATCCACAAATCATTTTGACATTCATGCGTTGGAAAACTTGAATTTAGAAATGTCAAATCAAAAGCAAGAAATCGTGAGCCGAAGGACATGAAAATCATGTCCGCATCAATCTTGTGCATTCGGACCCCTTCTCGATTGACAAAGAGTATAACATTATCGAAAGTCAAATGTGCGAGAAATCATTCCTTAGCGCTTGAGTTCTTGCTCACAAACTGAACAAACGAGTAGGAACGTAGTCGCACTTGCCTCTAAACATTAACCCAACACGTGACATGGTTCACGGCAAGGCTTAGCATCACAACTTCCAAGACCTACTCTCACAAATTATACGCAGATTCGCCTAGTTAAACCAACCCCTTCATTGAAGAAGAAGTAGAATTCCTATCAATTTATTGACCTATCGACATGTTCCTCTAACCTGCTAATCCTTACTACCCGTCCAACCTCCCTTTACCTTCGGCTCCGGTTCGCCATCTCCCATCTCCCATCTCCCAATCATAATCAGCCACAGAAAAGGAGAGCTAGAAAAGTAAAACGCCATTCTCTTAACCGGTACGCGCCATACCCCACAATGAACCCCAAATCTTTGCTAATAAACACGATCCAGTCAATGGACTGAACATTCTGGGGAAAACAACACAAATTCCCAAACTCTTTTCCCTATACCTCAAAAATTCCCAAATTTAAAACCCCATAACCTTGTCTTTCTGCTCCCTTCTCCCAGTTTCAGTATTTACAAACAGAAAGAGGTAAAATGCGTAGCGTTAGTCTCGTATTTGTGTTTTTTCTTCAAACACTCGTCTGCTTACTGAATATCAACCGCAAGCAATGTATTAAAATCATCCAGTCCTTGCAATCAAAGAAATGACATGGGAAAATATGCTCGCGAGATGTCTTTTGTCCTATCAATCATCCAAGTGACTCCTCCAAACTCCATCACATAGTATAGACGATAAACAGTTTCTGATATGATCGCCAAAACTTACAATCACCGACCGTCATATCTTCCATTATGTTGATCCACGGTTTGATGGTGATCGTCACCATCGTGGTGGAGTGTGACACTGTTGAATTCCTCGAATGGATCAACTTCGACTTCGGCAGCACCTGGTGTTGCCAAGCCAGAATCAAGTGGTACTCCTTTAGCTGACGCCAAGGTTCTTGATCCGCTGATATCAACACTTTCGCTCTCTTTAACATTTCTGAAATTGACAGTGTCAATACCGCGACCTTGGTGGGGAATCATGGGAGGCTTCATATGTCTGATAAGTGCCCATTGAGTTGTGCGGAAGAATGGGTGAGTTTTGACATCAGAAGCTCCAGCTCGAGCCCCCAATCGTCGGTTTTCATCCTTGATTAGGAGTTTTCGAATTACTGATTTACAAAGACTAAATATTGTTAGCATTTTTGGAAAGTCAATTTGTGAAGAACAACCGACTTTGAGACTTGGGGAGAGCCAGAATGTTCCGGGAAAGGAACATCATCTCTCAAAATATTTGCAAATGTTGCATTTCGATTCTTTCCCTTGAAAGGTGTTGTGCCAAACAACATCTCATAAATCAAGATTCCCAATGTCCACCAATCAACTGCACTTGTGTGACCGCATCCTTTAATAACTTCTGGCGCTATGTATTCCTCGGTTCCCACAAATGAATTTGTTCGGAAATTTGCTATACATGACTTTGTGTCGATCGTTGGTAAGGAATTTACGTTTGTGCCGTTTCGGCCAAGAATCATGGTTGGTTTTCCCCCAGGGGCCGATTGTTTCGAAAGATCAAAGTCTGACAACATGATATGACCAGATTGATGGAGTAAAATATCTATGCTTGTTAATATTTCAACGCCCAAGCTTCAAGAAACAACTTACTCTCAGGTTTCAAATCTCGATAAATGAAACCCATCAAATGTAGATACTCCAATGCAGCAGTGACTTCCGCCGCATAAAATCTAGCATCATCTTCTGGTATGCATTTGCCTGGTCGAGTTTGTAAAGCTCTAAAGAATTCTCCCCCACTGCAATATTCCATGCAGAGATATAAATGGTCCTCGGATTGGAAGGAGTGGTATAAGGTGACAATGAATGGATGATTGCTCGTAGCCAAGATTTCCTGTTCTGCCAATGCTCTCTTGATCTTGTTGCGCTTGATCATCTCTTGTTTGCTCAACACTAAAGAATGTTAGACAGAAGACAACACCTTGATCGTAATGTGGCATACCTTTCATCGCGTATAATCTGCTGCTCTTCTTCTCTCTCACCAAGTATACCTTTCCCACATCTCCCTTACCAATCAACTTGATCTTATCAAAACTCCCTGGTCCTACCTCGACATCACGTACTTTTATGGAATTTGAGCTGTACGTCCTCCTGAAGGCTGGATTATTTCGTAGACTTGGGGGTTGTAAGGGTGCCAAGTCATCTTCAGCACTTACACCCATAGCATCATTTCCATCCACCATACTCAACATTGTCGTGCTAGCATTGTGTACCAAAGGTTCCTTTCCAAGCTCGGCAGTAGCCGGTCGATCACCATCACCCTTACCTGAGAAAAGACCTTGTGCATTAGGAGCGCTGGCGACTCTTCTTAATTTTCGAGCCAATTCTTCTTTGCCAGCTGCCGTGGCTTGATCATTCACACCTGGAACGGTATCGACTTTGAAACTCGGAGTATCGGGAGGACTGGGAGGTATCGATGCATCGTCGTGATGTCGCAGGGCAGGAGGACCTTGATGTGCAAAGTATGGGTTCGCATGTGCGGTGGGACTACTGACGCCATCGTCTAATGCATTGCCTTCGCTTGCTACTGTCGTTGATCGATTTCGTCCACCACCTGGAAAGAATTTGGATTGTCGAAAGCCTGATTTGCCTTCGGACTTTAGTGACGGATCGCCCTTTTCACTATGGTTTGTTGAACTGTTGATTCGAAAGAAGTTCTTCAACTTTTGAGGAAATGGACTGTGGCCATTGGAATGCTTGTTCGACGACATCGAGGAACCGGACAAATTCCGCTTCTCGTTATTGGCAGGAAGAGAATTTGGAGATGAAGCGTGAAATAACTGAGTCATTGAGATCGAGTATCACAGCTTTAACAAGAGCTGCGACTCGAACTTATATGAACGATGATGTTGATGAAGAGAGGATTATGAAATGGAGTGATTGAATGAATCTCCAAAACAGGAGATAATGTCGATAGATACAAGAGAGACAAGTTAAGTCAAGACAAGGTTAGGTTTAAGGAAGAATGAATCGGTGGTTTGTCGTCCGCCCAGTTGGACCGTGCTCCAGTTTGGATTTCCAATCTTGTGGTATTATGGATTGTCCTGTCATGAGCTGACCTGATGGAGAAGAAGACTACGGACTAGGGAGGAAAAGGACAAACAGTTTGAGAGTGGCGCAGTTGGATTTGGGTTGGTCTTTTCCTTCTTCTTCTTCTTCTTTTTCTTCACTTACCTAGGTAACCTTAAACTTTGGACAACATTTTCACTTGGGAGATGGCTTTGTCAGAGAGTTGTCATACCAAATCTCAATACGAAGGGCAATGTTTCGGATCATGATTTGAGAGACTACCCTGGGTATCGTCGTACGGAGTGTTGATAAAAAGACGATAGGAAATGTGCGTGGAATGGGGCAAAGTTCGTATTTGAGTTTATCTTTTGATCTTTTAGGATTATCCCATCATTCATATGAAATAAAGATGAAAAGTGCTTGTAATGATTTATTCATATTTACCTTATTCACGATGACCTTGCTCCTCTTCTCTTGACTCTTGGTTTTTGTGAGAGAAGAGTCTCAACCGAAACAAAGCGTGTGAGTGAGTGAGTTGGCCGTCTCGAATTTACCGGATTCCTGTGGTTCAGCAAGAATTCCAGACTTTAAAATTTCCCTCTCCCGTCAACTTTGTCTCCTTTGGGATATTGCACAAGCATCTTTGGCTACCTTGAGATCTTAGGGGAATAGGGTTCACTTTGACCACTGTCTGTCTGTATGTAGCCGTAGGATATGCTTTTGTTTGAATGGTCTTGGTCTAGCATTGGTCTAGCATTGGTCTAGCATCGGTCAACACATGATTCGGGCTTAGTTGAAGGCTGGGGTTAGGGTGAAAATGTAACGTGAATGGAGGAGAGGTAGGTAGGAGGGAGGTAGGAGGAGTAAGTAGGAGTAAGTGGTAAGTAGCAGGGAGTAAGTAGGAGGTAGTAAGGAATTGAGGAGTAAGTGGTAAGTAGCAAGTAATAAGTAATGGCTAGAGATTGAGTAATAAGTAGATCGTATCCAATATACTAGGAATTCAATTTGTTCACTAATTGGATACTTTACACAGGATGCTTTATCACTCTCGACTCCAATATGAATATTGTTATACCTAGGTACCCAGTATACATATACATATACATATACATACATATACCTACACTATACATATAACCTTCATTAGGTAATTAATACTTATTATCACGGAATGTACATCATACCCTCACCTCAATCCATGTACCCTCAAGATCATCGCTTATCAAAATTATCATTATCTGAAAGAAAGACTTCCACACCTCCACCTCCAAGAACGAGGCCAAGAACAGAACCAAACCCTTTCTCTCCACATC